AGTATGTTTATTTACATCTGCCAAAGTCCTTACATTATATCCATGCAGTAAAAATACTATGACCCATGCCAATCGATCTCACGCATGTTCAACAGTTATCAGACCACCGCCTAGTTTTTGTTTATATCACGTTTGGTGCTAAATATCATCATATCAGTATGTTTATTTACATCTGCCAAAGTCCTTACATTATATCCATGCAGTAAAAATACTATGACCCATGCCAATCGATCTCACGCATGTTCAACAGNAGTATGTTTATTTACATCTGCCAAAGTCCTTACATTATATCCATGCAGTAAAAATACTATGACCCATGCCAATCGATCTCACGCATGTTCAACAGTTATCAGACTACCACCTACTTTTCTTTTATATCTACACTCGATTGGAAAAGCGACCACAGGCGACCAGGTAATCACCCGAAAAACCTCGACACGCTCACTTAATATCAGTTTATTTCGATACACGACATGATCGTCGGTCTCTTTATATAAAGTACCACAGCTGTTCAGCGGTGTTGCAATGAGCATATGCGAAGAGTCGATAAAAGAGGGCTTACACCTCTCGTCTGCAAGATGGATGGTCAGGAACTCTGGGTGAATCCAGGTGTGAACATGACGGTCCAACGAAATACTGATAGAATTAGAGTCACACTGAATTGAAATCCCTCGTGTCTTTGGCACTTTTTTCCAATCTAAAAAAAGAAACATATTTTCTGATACGAATAATGTCACCCAAAAGTCCAATAGTTGTCTTGCAGCAAATTCCGAAAGCATCTCCATATGGAGGACAAAACAACAGAACTTTAATCTAACGATAATTCAAATGCATTGTCTTCTAAATTACCCATCTAAGGATATAACTTTATGAATTCCAGTAGAACAGCTCATATGGAAGACAACTTTACTGTATGGATAATTGAAATGCATTGCGTTGTCCTCTAAATTAGGTAGCTTTGGGGATAGACTATTCCTGGATTTGATTGATTGACCACGAAGGAATGGTTCCAAGTCGAGGTTGGACTTCATAAAATCCAGTAAATGTATGAAYACATCACGTCCAACCTCATCTGGAACGTCAACCATCGTTTAGTGTGCACTCAAGCGAATTCCCGAAACTTATATTGGGTGCAACTAGGCTATATATAGTCACTATAGTCAAAAACATGGACTATGTTTTAAGACTTGGTCGAGTTGGCATTGGAGTGCATTTTGCGAGTGTTTTGGGGACATATTTACGAGATGGTGTCTATTTTGTCCACTAATTAAAATAGTCCCAAAATACACTACAATGCCAACCCATCCTCTTACTCAACCATTAAATGGGTAATGGTAAATCAAAATGCATCGAGTGATACCTGTTAATCCCAGTGTTATCTTATGTTTACCCTTCTGACCCGTCTCATCAACTGCATTACACTCATACGACCCTACAGCAGAAAAACCAGCCCAAACTACAGTAGTCAGGGTATTTTCGTCAACTTTTTCAGCCTCCACGACTTGTTTTCCATCTTTGATCATGTTCATTTTCAAAGGCTGAACTCCGCCTATGAAAGAGCATGTTAACCGCAACCTGATGTTGAGCAAAGAGGTGACATAGAGAGGGCTGGAGTGAAGCGCGTTGACCTTCAGGGAATCTAAAAATTATAAATATTTATCATTAGATTAAAAACGATGTAAAATCCTCCCTAAACATGTGTTGTTGCGAATGCTTATATTTATATTTGTGGCCGAAGATCCAAAATGTGCATCATAGGAAGACAAAGTTCATATTCCCTTGATTATATTCATAACTTAGATCTTTACGCCTACCAATAGGAACTTGAATACTGCGTTCCTCGACAATCGTTTTTTTGTAAGCGCACTGGAATGGAAACACCAGATCCGGGACTCTATTTATTAACTTATTCCGCCACTTTTCCTTTGCCAAACGAACAATCAAGCTATTATAGTAGCTAGCCACTTGACCATGCTGCTTGACCGTGGTTCCACATCCTGAGAGCGGGACCTGGATTCGAAGGTATGTGTTTGTGAACTCGTAAGGCTCGCACTCTGATGAGTTTAGGTGGATATGGTAGTTGTTGGTGTCAAGAAAGGGAAACTCCAAAAGATTGAAAGTCACATCCATGTAGTCCTTGTAGCAGTTTAATCCTATGCCGTTTATTAGAGAATCTTTTTTGCCTAAAAAATATAAAGAAAAGATATTAATGCAAGCACAGGGAGCCCTATACATCTATTTTTCCTGCCTCGTGATGAATATCCATACAGTATATACTGATCTCAAAACATAAACAATACAGAGCACTTAGATTTACCTATTTTTCTCAGATTCATGACATAATGAATCTTCTTTCCAACAGCATCTTTCGCGACACATACATACTTTCCGAAGCTTCCAGAGTTTGTTTGCAACAAGGCGTAAAGCGTTCTTCCTCTGACCTTGACCACTGATTCGATGTTCTGACCGTTCTTTGATAGTGTTATTGATATAGGGGTAGCTCCGTGTTTGAAGGAACATATGATGTTGGTTTTAAGACCTTCGTATGTGTTGATTTGTTTTCTGCTCGTCATGAATCTATCGATAACCAGAGGATCTGTGGAAGAAGATGGCATGAAAAAAAAAAAAAAAAGAATTATCATAAATGGATGGAAGTAACACGATGAATGCGTCAACGGTAAATTGCTCCTGCTTGAATAAGAATGAATGAATAAACTCAAGTGCTTGCGTGCATGCTAGGTATAAATCGATAGACGCATGGGACGGGGCGTTGATGGCCGGCTGTGTACAAGACAACGGATTGACAGAGAATGGAGGGATATGGCCATAAGAAATGATAGACGAATGGATCGATGTACGCATGGCTGGATGGGGCTTGGATAGATGGTAGGATGGATGGATGCCATGGATGTATTGATAGATGAATGCATAGACGGATGAATTTATAGATAGATGAAT